AACTACACCACACACTTAACTGCAAATGTGAACGAACGAAATGCTGTTTTGATTTTACTGACCTTAAATGCAAGATTACCACAAACAACTTCATTCGCTTATTTTTCAGTCTTTAGAAGCTCTTCCATTTCCCTCAGCAGAGTATTCTCCTCAATACTTCTTACTTATTCTAAGTTCATGAAAGTGAATTCATTTAATTCAAAAAATACCGTAGTCACAGATGTTGCCTTAAGACAATGTGGAATGGCTCTCGTGTGTGCATTAAACACAAACACAGCAATCAGCAGACACTATTGATTGCTAGTGGCCTCCCCACGCTTCGCTGCACTATCCGACCTCCCGCACTCTCTCGCGTTAATGAGTCATCTCCTCTCAGCATCTTCCAAGTCTGTCTTGCATTATAGCAGTTTTGATCGTGTCATTCACCACACTCTCGTTTTTTGTCCCAATACTTTTTTCCCGAACCCATATCAATGCTCCGAAATGCAGATTCCCCGTCATAAAATACCCACGATCTAGCTGACTTTATTCGACCAGTAAAGACGGAGGATTAATGAACAATTGAGCAGTTTGTTGAGGTATTATTGATCGATTAAGGTGACATACAACCAATGAAGTTGACGGAATATGTTACCTAGTTTAAACGAAGGAGGATGAGGAGTTTATTTATTGTTCATGGTTAAAATTTCAGACTTTTTAATTAAAGTATTCAATCATAAAATTAGCTGTAATTAATAAGTAGTAATTTTCGGTAAAATTAGTTTGTTTGAATAGTTAATGAACGAAATGATTTGAATATATTGACATGACGACTGATTTCGAAAATGAAATTAACTGTACTAACTCACTTAATCACAACAACTGCTTCCTTTTCTAGGTGACTTCTTGTGATAAAACTAGACTGAAGGACCATCTCGAATACCACTACTACTATTATCAGTACAACTACTTCACTGATTAAGTGATTGATTATTGATTGATTCGTTGATTGACTGATTATTGTGATATCCGGATCAGAAAGAGGCAAGAAAGGGTCTAGAACGATGGTACAGAATGATGACAACGCAGTAAGGATTTTTAGTGATGATAGTTATAGAATATTCTTTTCATTTTGATGATAATCATTTACTAACTGAACAAGCTCATTCGATCTGAAGTAATGTGAATATGGAGAAACTACGGCAGTCACTAGTTGGTATTCTAGTGATAATCATCTACGGGGTTTCGCCTCGATATTTTAGTGAGAAGGAAGCAGAGGATACTAACAAGAATACGATCAATCAATCGAAAGAGGAGAGTGAAGTCGTCAGGATAAGTGATATCGAGATCAGAAGTTATACTTCTGTAACAGTTACTTTACGTTCTAAGAATCCTCCTAGACGAGAGAGGATCCTCATGAGGAAACAGGACCAGATGAGAATTAAGTTCAGAAGGAGTGGAGTGAGCAGGTAGCACTAGCTCCACATAGATAGGTGTCGGCTGTGGCTATATCGTGCCATATCTTCCCGTTGTTTTTTGAAACACTGCATTCATAGAGTGTTTTGTGAATTTTTGAATTTCTCGTACTTTTGAGGAAATCTCCCATGCAGATCTGCTGTCTCAACTTCAGGATCTAAAATACCTCAGAAAAAAAGAACCACTTATGAATGCATTTTCATCATCATTTACATTTCATTACTATTATTTCAAAGTGTTTGCAACTGAAACGCGTAACGATTAGCGCATCGTCATCGATAATTTCAGAATGGTTCGGTGTCGAATCTTGAACCTGAGCAATTTCGTAAGATGTTCATCGGTGGTCTTACAAGTACCACAACCGATGAGAATCTGCGAGAGTTTTACTCGAAATGGGGTGATCTAGTGGATTGTGTGGTCATGCGTGATCCAACTACGAAACGTTCGCGTGGATTCGGATTCGTCAGCTATTCGAAGCAGTCTGAGGTGCTTATCGAATCGATTGTTTGAACATGTTTTCCCGTTGGAACTTGGTCCATTGCGAATAGCGTATAGTCTCGATTTCATCTTGGCACAAGGAAAATAAACAAGATGAG